TCTATTTAGCCTTCAACTCTATTATGTCCATTCACTTTGTTCCAGAAAAGCAGATTTGTGCACTTTCTTGTTGTATAATAGATTTATAACATATCAGCTAACTGGCTTGCCTTTGGGCCCACTAACTAATCTTATACCAGCTCTGCACCTCAAGACATATCAACAGGGAATCACATTTCAAGAAAAGTTCCACACTATATGTGCATATTGCAAGGCTCAACTGTAATGTGACAAATTGTTCAAGGAACTCCTGCTCTACACCTCAATAAATATCAACAGGGCTCTACATGTCAGGAAAAGTACAACACCATATGGCCATATTGCAAGGCTCAAGTTGAACTGTTACACAATAAAATGTATAACATGATAAAATGTTTCTTGATAAATAAGTGTGTGGGCAATTATAGGACAATTGCAGGATCAATGATGATTCACCATTGGAGACCTCCTACAGTTCTTCCACTTTTTGATTGATGTGGATGTTTGCTACAAAAGGTCAGTAGTCACCTTAGGCAGTCCTCCAGCAATGAAACCTTTTTGAGGATGTACCTACTCCCCACACACCAATGCTACCCTGCTAACATCTTGTCATAACCTCTCAATAGTACACCCTGGCATATGCACCTCCTACCCCAGACTATATGAATGTGCTCATATCATATGAATGGAATAATCCCAAAGACATGGGATCATCCCATACCATACCATTGGAATAACACCATAGCTATGGAATCATCCCACATCATACCAATGGAATAACACCATAGACCTGGAATCATTCCATACCATACCAATGGAATAATACCATAGACCTGGAATCATTCCATACCATACCATTGGGATAATACCATAGACCTGGAATCATTCCATACCATACCATTGGAATAATACCATAGACCTGGAATCATTCCATACCATACCATTGGAATAATACCATAGCAATGGAATCATTCCATACCATACCATTGGGATAATACCATAGACCTGGAATCATACCATACCATACCATTGGAATAATACCATACCAATGGAATCATCCTGTAAGTCATAGAAAAGCAATCATACCATTGAAACAGAATCATACCAGATGAATGGAATCATACCAAACTCCAGGGATCCTACCATACCATTGCATTGGAATAATACCATAGAGACAGCATCATACCATACCCTAGGACTTGGTGAATGGAAGAATTGAGTTGGTCGGAAATCAAAATCCTGCCGTGGAGTTCCTGCCAAAGCTAGACAGTGTGACATCTGCCTCATTGACTGGTTTCGCACTAATCTTCGTTTGCAGCACTGATAGCATGCGATATATTATTCAACAACGTGAATTTGAGTTTATAACTAGATATTACATAGGGTACGATGTATGCGCACACTTCTCTCAGTTTATAATGTCCATATCCCTTGTATTTAAAATTTCCAACACCATTCTTTATTTGGGTGCCTCATTGACTGGTGAATGACTGTAGCCCAACATTTCTCAACTTGGTAAAGAAATATCTCACAAACATTTCTAAACCTCATAAGAAATATTAAGGGGTCCACAAACTTGGTCCCCCCCCCGCCAAGACCACCGCTTATCATTCCGTCTCCCGTCCCAATGGAGCTGGTACCAGAGGAAAGCCGCTCAGAAGAGCGGGACCTCAACTTCGGTTTTAGCGGCGCGGTGGTCCCCATGGTAGGAGTCTGTAATGGAGTCTGTGGAGGGAGGAGGCTAGCGTACCCATACGCGCTCTGTGCCCTGATCCGACGAGTGGATGGTGATGGGGAGGTCGTGGCTGTGACTTGTAATCGCCGCCCCCAGGTCCACCAGGCGATATCGATTTTGAGGTGGTGGAAGACAGACTCCCATTTGCATTCTTGAGCTTGATGCCGGAGGACTTGCCGATTGTTTCTTCACCTTCTCCGAATTCACCTGCGCCTTCCTCCTCCTTCTTCTTGTCGTTGTCATCGTCCCCTAAGGGAGAAACGGAAAATGACCCCCCAAGTACACGGGAGTATGACCGCGGTGTGCCTGCCCTTTTCAATAAAGAAACAGTAGAAGGCGGGTCCGTATGGGTATTGGTATTGATATTCACATTGGTATTGGCGGCTGTATTGGCAGCAGTGGTATAGAACAAGGAAGCAGCGTTCGAGGAAAATTCATCTTCATCAGGCGGGGCAGTTATCGGCCCTCCAAGCGCAACGGTGTACCGTTTCCTCGGCGTAGGGCTTACACTCGTTTGTCTTTTCCCAGCAGCCGATTTCGGGGGTGGCGGCAAACCTTGTTGTGCTCCTCGTCCTTTTGCAGGTGCGGGTGTTGGGCTGGCTGTTCGATTGGCAGGAGCAGAGGCAGGAGCGAACTTGGGTTGAGCAGGCGGGGACAACAGCCTACCCGTACCCGAAGCCAACGAGGAAAGAGAGGTGGTAGAATATGAAGCACCTGGTAGTGTACCCAGTCCTGAGGATGAATGGAGGGGTAAACCCGAAATGGCCGTGGACAATGGCCTCATAGCGGAACTGATCGACGAAGGTGGAGAATTACAGGGGGAGAATGTGTCTGGCAGAGAAGAATAATCTCCCCCAGGGTACGGTAACCTCGTGCCCGATTCTCTCCTCTTCGAAGTCATAGGCGGACTTATAGATTCTCTGGCAGTGGTACTTGATGACCTGGGATGGTGGATGGGCGTGCTGGGTGCTGACGGTGATCCTGTCAAGTGCGTTGCAATTGAAGAAGTCGGATGTGAGTGCGTGACGATGGACGAAGTGGTTTGTGGTGCTACCGATACAGCAGCGGACTGTGCTTTAGGTCCTGCAGAAAGATTATTGGGGGCCGTTGCAATTTTCGCCATCTCCCGGCCTAGTTCGCCTAATCGGCCTTGAAGCTCGACCACCTCGTCTCGGAGGTCGTGGATTTCATCTTTCACGTTGTCCGTTGAACCCGGGTGTCTCAGCGACTGGGACTCGGATTCCTTGTCCTTCTCTTTCTCCTTCTCTTTGTCAGCTTCCTTATCGACTAACCACCTCAACATCATTCATCCGATCTTCCAGAGCCCTAACGTGGCCCACGGTCCATTTCTCGAGCTTCTCAAAGTGTTTGGCTATCATGAGGAGTGTACCTGGTACGTCTAGCGTCCCTTGGTATGTGAACTGCGTGTACAAAGGTGGCGCCTCATGAGAAGGGGAGGAAGACAACGTATCCATTGTGGGTGGCATATTCGAGAGACTCGGACAAGAAGGGGTAGGCGAAGACGGGGAGGAAGAAGGCACGGGGACGCGTCGGACGGGTGTGGTTGGGATGGTGAGGTTCATGAAAGCTGGATCGCTGAACTTGCCTTGGGCGTTTGCAGGCCACTCTTTCTCCTTGCCTTTGGCGTTCTTCTTGTTATCCTTCTCCCTCGCCTTTGCCTCCAATATAATTTGCTGAGCAGGCGTCGGAGGGTCTTTCGTAGGCATAAGCCTACTCTTCGCAGTAGACCACCAACTAGTAGCGCCACCCGACTCTTTCTGAGAATTAGACGGAGACGGTGGATTAGGCATAGTCTGAGACCTGGAGGGCGGTGGAGGGAGCGACTTTGTGCTCTCCATCATAGACAGCACACGTCTTCAACGAGTCTCCTCTGCTGAGCCTCCCGTGTGAGTATAGCTTCTGCCTCCCTACGACTACGGTCGTGTTCCCTCTCCGCTTCAGCTTCTAGCTCTGCATCGCTTAGCATAGGTGATCACAGGGCAATGCCCCCTACGAATGTGCCCATCCTTTGGACGAAGCTGGCTGCGAGATGGGAGACGGATGATGAGGGTGATGGTGAACGTTGCTGCCATATCCCTTGGTCGTCCTCCCGGTCATCGTTGTCGTCTGATCCATCGTCGGATATGGCGTCTGGATCGATGCCTGTTGAACTGTCTGGAAAGAACGCATTTCGTGGTGGCGAGGGTGGTGATGGTGACCTCCCTCTCGGAGGCTAATAGAAGGATATTGATCAGTGGGATAGTCGCGATCTGATGTTCTCCAAGACATACAATAGAAAGAGAGCCAGCAGGCGAAGTCATCCTTCGTTGCTGCTGTCCATTCAAGCTCTGGCACGGCACTAGTATGTGTTGGGTTGTCTGAAAGGTTCCGTTGTATTGACGTTTGGCAGGGCATACATTTGCTTCAAAGTTCAACCGCACCTGCTCACATCAGTGAGCTTTACGCACGAAAAAGGCTCTGGGACGAAGGACGCTGAGGAAATATCAATAACGTTCAGTCGAAATGTCACACCTGGGTCACATTCGTGATGCCATGACGTATCATAACATCTCATTGTTGCTGTGCCCAGCGAGGACGCACGTCAGTGTGAATACGTCACTCCGAGTGATATGGAACTGGAGATCATACCAGGGCGAGTTCGTGCTTTATCTCCCCTTCTTCTGAGGTCTGAACCTGTTTTCACTCTAGCTTACTGCGTCGGCGGGCCAAGCGAAGTCCGAGACGACTCTATCAGTTGCTCTTCCATCCTCTTAACGTGCTTTTCGCAAAGGACTTGCCCTATAACGCCGTTTGCGCTGCATCCTCCATTCAGGTGTGCAATCTTGTGGCCCACGCAACTAGATCTCCTTGCAGTTATTCCGCAATCAAGCTTCAAGCTTCAAGCTCAGTCCATCTCCAGCCGCCACGTCACCTACGTGTAGCAAGCGTGCCCTCTTCCTCGTTGTGGTCCATCCGTGAAACCAAGGAAGCACTGTATTTCAAGGGAACATCGCAATGGAATGGGTTCTTCGACTAGGATGTGTACGGATCGTTATAGCCTCTCATGAAGTCCAAGTACGTAGTTCTTTTCTCCCCTCTCTTTCCAAAACACGTTGCTTACATTGGCATACAGACCTACAAAGTCCACCCCGTTCTCATTCGTCATGCCCTCCTCGATTCTATCCCACAAGACAGGCAAGGGCTTACCGCTTTCTCCGACCTTCTCTTCCCCTTCTCCTACCTGTGGCCAACTACGGGCTGCTGCACAAGATTCGTAATAAAGCACTTGGTGGTCAACTATGAGCGTGCAGAATCCTGCCGTACGTGCCTTACCCTGTTCTTGCTTGGATGGAGAATGACAGAGAGGGAAACGGTTTCAGGAGATTCGGGGTGGCCATTAAGAGCGATGGGTTGTCCCTGTTGGTAACGAAGTTTTTGCGCCCTGTGTCCTTTCGACTGGGGTAAGTATGACACCCTCGCTTCTTTGATCTTCCCGTATTCAACTTCCATTCCCTGTAGCCATTACCTTCACCTCCGTTGGTGATCGACGGAGGATTCGACTAGCTCCTCCTACCCTTTCGGTCTGTACATGGAATCAAGGACGACCATTAACAAAACCTTGTCTACATGGTAAGTCTCTCGAATTGTTCCTCGATGATACGAACAAACACCATCCCTTTGACAGAATGACTTCCCTTATCAACGATCACAAAAGAGCCTCGGGATTCTTAAAACGCGTGATACAGGTGCCTGTTATACTAGGCCATTCACGCTCGCAATGGGACTTTTCACCCTCCTGTGGTCCGTCCTCTTGGTTCTCCCTTTCTGTTCTTACTCATGCATGTGTGTTAGAACCTTGTCACAGTCTCTGCTCTCACGATTTACTCTCTCCATTTGTAGGGTATGGAAGTTGGTCCAACCCGGGTTAGCGTTTATTCGGGAGGTCGTAAAACAACTTGCTGTGCAAAATCTACGCAGCAAGGACCCATGGGCCATCTGTAGCATGACATATCATGTACAACTCCCGCGCTACTACCAAAACATGAAATTCTGCTCAGTAACTATCAAATATGCGCAACAGAGGATCTAGGAATGGTTCAAGTCCGCCTCAGTCGCAGTGCCCAATCAGCACAGCAGAACAACCACCTTCATGGACAGGTGACACTCTCCATAAGGAATCCCACTACTTGGTGCGAAGGAGGAAGAACGCTCTTTAACCACGGTTCCTCGGAAGAATAGTTTGGACATGATGTTTGCACGTTAAAAGTCAACAGTTTTCCAGCCATCTTAGTCGAATAATAAGACATGTAGCTGGGTTTCCTTTCCCTGTATGAGTTGTGATCAGTCCTTCAAGTCGTAGAGATGTTAGTCAGGAATACCGACGTAAATTGAATGGAGGCTAGATGTATGTGTAGTGGGCCCGGAATCGCCGCTCCTGGAGGTACCGCTGGATACGTTTGATTTCAGTAGGAATGAGGGGCGAACGAAAAAGACCCACACGTCACAACGCAACAGGCAGTTCGCTTCCACCAACCCTCCCCTACGCGGCCGAAAAGAACGAAAGCATCGGGGACGAGTGAGAAGCGAGATGGCTGCAAGTCGCTCAAGATAACCGGGAGGACGACGCCGCTGGGCCTGCTCTTCGCAATCGATCAAGAAGACAATGAAAACTTGGTGTTTCAGTTGTAGAATATGGTGGTTTACGCAGGCAACCCGGCGCACTTCACACATGCAGGTGGCGAGTTAAGATGTCGAGAGTCAAGCTAGCACAGAAACCTTGATCATCTCTTCGAAGGCCACTTGTCATCAGCCCAGCATACACAAATATCCAGCACAGTAACGATTGTGTGGAATCAGCTAGCGATTGAAAAACTCGAAGAGAACCCAAAACTAGAAAGGAGACGCATAAATGTGGACCACAAGAACGAGGAAGGGCCACTACTAAGAACCAACACAGGGCAAGCAGGCATCTTCTGTCCGTTCAGACTTTCACAACCGAAGAAAGCCTCTTATGTAGGGGAAAACCTGTCGTAGTTTACAGCTGCAGTCGATTAGTAGAAGAAGAGTTAGGGGTAGAGAGGAAACGCACTGAACAATCCAGCCCCATGTATACAGCAGTTGACCGTAACGGTGCATAGCCCTTAGACTAGTATCGTTAACATTTGTGTGCGCAGAAGAAACTCATGATGATCAGCATTCAGTCTGCCATGCTCGTTGCTCGATAAGGCATTGAAAGACCATCGTGTCCTGAGAGAGGGTTTCAGCTTCTTTTATCCTGGTGCTAGAAAGGTGGCGTGATGGGCAAGGTCAAGACGATAAAACACGACCAGCTGTCGTCTGAAAGGTTCTGTTCGTTTGCCTGAGCGGGTGCAACGTTACAATGTTTTCCGCCGTCACATATTTGCTTCAAAGTTCAACAGCACCTGCTCACGTGAGTGAGCTTTACGAATGAAAGATGCTTCACTTCGTACTCACGCGTTCAGACGAAGGATGAGGAAATTTCGATTGCAGGTAACATAGCCGAACGTCCTGGCTTTGCCAACGTTGACACTTGAGGGTGTTCTTACACTCAAACCTGATCGGCAGAACAGAGGCTGGCACTACCACACGATCAAATACTGCACTAGCTTCTAAACTTACAGATGCTATGCTCACCATCCATCCTCTGGAGCAAAAGCAGAGCATACATACGCACCCCAAGCAAACCTATCCACGATTGCTGTGAGTACTAACCCGACACATGCGAAGCACTCAAGTATCACTGACCTATGTGCAATAGCCATGCCCCCATCATCCATACAAGTCGGTGTCCACCCGAAGACGAGGACCCTAATGAGTTTGGTGTTTCTCACCCTAGGCCTTTGCCCTCAGTAGTTCGTTATTGGCTGAGAAACCTTTGGAAAAGAAGGTAGTATCAGTAACCATCGTCATCGGTTGCATCTGATCCAAACTTACAAGACCCCAACGAGCGATCCGTATGTGTGATGTTGTGGCAGCCCACGGCGGCAACGAGCTATGGATGGATACGCACGATGGAGAATTTATGCTGTGCAAAGGCTGAGTCCGGAAATAACGAATTCTTGTGGTACAGGCAGAGATTGGCGTCACTGGGTACATATACCATGTACGTAACGGCAAATAGAGCGTCGGGAATGAAGATACCGAGAAGCTCTGAGCACTGAGCCAGCTTTGGCAGAGGAGAAGGACCGAACAGCGGAATAGGTGGGTGCAACCGATGAGACGATCGATGCATGTGAGAGGTCTGCCTGCGGCCACTGGCAAATAGTCGATGTTGGAAGAACGAGCTTGGTATGGAGGCAAGTTCGTTGGAAGGATTGAACGATGGCGAAATTTCCTGCGTGAGTCGATGCACGAAGGGATGCAAGTGGCCGGGTCGTGCGGGTTACGGTGGACCTAGGAAAGACGGTAGGATCAACGAAGTGGGGCTTGTGTTGGTGGTATGAAACCAGGACCTGAGTAACAGACGGAAGTAGTTAGCAAGCAAAACATCGGATATATGCGAGTTAAAAGGCATCCAGAGATCGAGGGAGGAATAAGGGTACGAATGAATGAGTAACGCAAGGGCGATAACTTACCAAAGGAGATATGGTTATCCTGACTCTCCAGCTCTCCGACTAAAGCTTGCGATCATGATCAGATGGGCAGTGACCTAGCATGCCGTGTGGAGCTTTTCAAGAGGGTATTGCCGTCGTCGAGCTGGGCATCGTTAAAACCGCCCGCCACGTCTGCAACGGAAAGGCCGTTAGGGCAGGCGTTGTCGACTTGCAAGAAAGATATACTGACGATCAACTTGAGCCAACAGAGTCGCTTCGAGCGCGTTACCGGGTGGTAGTCCAAAGATGGAGTTGAAGCAAAAAAAAGTTGATTCAAAATCCTGTTCATACCGTAAGCATCCAGTAAACTTCCCAATTTCAATGTTTCAATCGTCGTACCAGTAGAAATCTGTGGTTTGCGGTTTGTATGCTTTTTTGAGGTTAAGAGGACCGGAACTGTCACAGAATTGTCAGCATATCAGACAAACGTAGGCAGACGGAGGAAGAGGGGTATGGTTGCGGCACAGAAGGGGAAAACGAGCTAAGGCAGAAAGGGGAGTAAATCTAACGGAAGGAGGAACTCACTCAGAGCCAGTGGACTCGAACATCTTCAGCGCATGCTTTGAATCTCAACAGCTCCCCGCTCTCTGTGGATCGGTACAAGTTGACGAAGGCGGGTATCGGGTTAAATTTTGATCACAGTGCGAGGTTGGGTCTCCAGGCGATGTCAGCAGTAGCTGAACCTAGAGAGGAAACATTGGACGACTCGTCATGAAACTCCATTCGACGAGGGGGGTTCGCGGCGGAGTTGAATCCATGGATACTTCGCGACGGAAAGCTGGCCAAACAAACACAACATCTACTTGACAACAACGATTTTGCAAGTAGGAGGGCCCATAGGTGGGTCGCAAGGTAATGAAAGAAAAGGGTGTGTTTAGTCACCTTTCGCACAGCCACAAGCAAAACAAGCACGACCGTGACCACACATCTTCCTTTCGTTCGTCCCTTGGAGTTTCAATTTCCCTCAGTCTTGAGAGGTGTTCGTCGTTTTGCTTCTCTGACACACTTCTCAGTTGACCGCCATCCTTGTGGCCTGACTTGACGCCGAACCACTGTGGGAGGCAAGTGGGAGGGACCTCAATCAGGAACGTCAGCTGACTCTGTGAAACGGTCCGTTAGCCATTTTGAAGATTGACGCCGCACAGCATCGATTCTCTCTTCTGAACCACCATGTCTGATCCCATTGATCCCCGCGAAAACCGTTTGAAACGCAAGCTCGAGGAATTGCCCGACGAAGGCACGATCACTGACCACCCACATAATAAACACTATGGTGGTTTGAGGTTAGAGTTCATGATCTCGGGCTACTAGATAAATATTAACGTGAATCCATCAGCCCCAGCACCGCCCTGCCTAGCTTGATAACTCCATCTTCAACCATCAGTGCAGTGGACATAGCCATGGCAGGCAGCAGTAAGATACATTCTAATCTTCCTGCATCAAAGTGAGCAGTGATTGCTCATCAATTCAAATTTCCAGGTGATCAGGTTGATGTCTCTGTGGATGGAGGGCTCCAGTGCTTGCAACAAGTTTTACCTATCTCCACTGGTCTGCATTAACCCCAAATCTCTATCATTCATCATTGGTAACACTGATATAGATTTCCTGAGTTCTTACCTGCCTACCACTCCATTAATCACCCCCATTTTTGAAATGACTGGTGCCTGTGAGACACCCCTCAATCTCTTTTCCATAATGTTCATACTAACTTTCATTAATTCTTATCACACAGTTGATCAGATTGAAGGTCCCATGCAAGGAGCTGCTGATTCCTTTCAACACCATTCTCCTATCTTGACAGGTTCATGCTTGCTTCAAATCTCTATATTCTATTTCTGATAACACTGTTTAGATTTTCCAAGTTCTGACCTGCCTGTTACTCTATCTATTAATTCTGATTTGAATGCAGAACTGATGCCTACCAGTCAGTACTCTTATGAATATAGTTCAGGCTTGCTCAAGTTAGACAGACCATGCAGAGTCCTCAACAAACTTTCAGGCTAACATTATAAACAACATTTCAGCCCCAGCTCAAAATGTGAATACAGGCCCTAACTATGGTTTGTTGCATTTGGACCATCAGATGTCATTGCCTTCACTTATATTTTAATAGGTATCATCAATCAAGGTAAGTAGTAAGAAAAACATTATGTTCATCTTAATGTTGTTTGTGATTGGTAGGTGTGGACCCAAACATTCAACTCACACTTGAGACAATTAGGGATGACCAACTGGGTATTATTGCAGGTTCTTTTTGTGAATGTGTTGTTGACTTCATTTTTCTGTTACAGTGGAGAAGATTTATAAGTGGCTTTCTCCACCCAAGGAGTCTATAAACTACAATGCTGCACATGCAATTCTGGAGAGTCAGCCAGACACCTGTCAATGGTTTCTTGAGGGAAATACATTCTATGTGTGGCTCAAACAGCCTGGCTTTCTCTGGATCAAAGGAAAATGTAAGTTTTCTGTCAAAATTGGTAAATTGATATATTATTGACAGTCTATCCAGCTGGCTCTGGGAAAACCATCTTAAGGTTGATTATTTCAACATTGTTATGAAATTAAATTGATTTTTCTTGTCACAGCTCAGCAATAATTCACAATCTTTTCCAAAGATTCCATTCTGCTACTGCATATTTCTTTTTTGATGGAAGAGACTCACAGAAAGATTTCCAGCTGCATGATCAATTACTTCAATCACTCATCTGGCAGTTCTCTCTGAAATGTGAGAGTGGAGTGCCTAAAGTCTTAGTGAATCTGTATGCTCGCTGTGGCAATGGCCATAAAGAGCCAACTCTGGGTGATCTGCAAAATACTCTTCGAGCAATTCTTGATGGCTTTAGTTCAACATTCATTATTCTGGATGCTCTTGATGAATGTACTGAAAGAGAAAAACTTCTTAACTGGATTCAGACTCTTATTCTGGAGAAAAATAAAAATCTTAGGCTTCACTTGATAGTTACCAGCCGCCCAGAACAGGATATTGAGGACAAGTTCAAGTCTTCTCATTATCTTGACTTGATTAAGGAATCTGAGAATCATGATCTTGTAACCTATCTGGACTATCAGCTTCAGAATGACTCCGACTTGCAAAAATGGAATTCAGATTCTCAAGAGCAAATAAAAACAAAGTTAATGGAACAAGCAGATGGAATGTATGTTTATCACCAACATTTCAATGACAGAATGATTATTTTAAAAAAATTACAGGTTTCGTTGGGCTGCATTACAGCTAAATGAACTCAAAAAGTGTCAGACCAGGACTGATCTAAAAAAGCAGCTGGCTGATCTACCCCAGGGTTTGGAGAAAACATATGATCGAATCTTGCTGGGCATCAATGAAAAAGATCATGGTTATGCCAAAACCTTTCTACAGTGGCTGTCTTTTGCTGTTCGTCCACTAAGACTGAAAGAGTTGGCTGCAACTGCTGAGAATGGACCAGAGTACAACTCTGATAATGAACTTCAAGATGTTAATGATGTCTTGAAAATATGTTCTAGTTTTATTATGAAATCAGAAGGTTTGGTTTAGAAGAATAACAGATTTAAATGGGCACTGACTATTAGATAGGCTTCATTAAGCTTTCTCACTTTTCTGTCAAAGAATATCTCATATCTCAGTATGTTCAAAGCCACAATGTGAAGCAAGTCAGATACTTCAGTTTCAGTGAGGAGCTCTCACACTCTGTCATATCTCAAATCTGTCTGGCCTATCTTCTGCAATTTAACACATCTGAGCCACTTGATAAAAATCTGGATGTATCTTCCCCTCTTGCAAAATATGCTGCAGAACACTGGATCATACATGCACATTCTGGTTGCAATAGTCAATCTCAGTCATCTTCAATATTTGCATTGATGATGAAGCTTCTGACAGATGAAAATTATGCTTTTGTGAACTGGGTTAGAATTCATAATATTGATAGGCACTTTGGGATGAAGAGGGATGAGATTGCTAAACCACTATATTATGCATCACTAGCTGGACTAACTGGAGCATCATATGTTTTGTTGGAAATGAGGGCAGATGTAGATGCACAGGGAGGGCACTATGGAAATGCACTCCAGGCAGCATCATATGGAGGCCATGAAGCAATTGCAAAGCTGCTCATAGACAAGGAAACAGATGTAAATGCACAGGGACGGCACTATGGAAATGCACTCCAGGCAGTATCATGGGGAGGCCATGAAGCAATTGCAAAGCTGCTCATAGACAAGGAAACAGATGTAAATGCACAGGGAGGGCACTATGGAAATGCACTCCAGGCAGCATCATATGGAGGCCATGAAGCAATTGCAAAGTGGCTCATAGAGAAGGGAGCAGATGTTAATGCACAGGGAGGAGAGTATGGAAATGCACTCCAGGCAGCATCATGGGAAGGTCATGAGGCAATTGCAAAGCTGCTCATAGACAAGGGAGCAGATGTAAATGCACAGGGAGGATATTTTGGACATGCACTCCAGGCAGCATCATGGGGAGGCCATGAGGCAATTGCAAAGCTGCTCATAGACAAGGAAACAGATGTAAATGTACAGGGAGGATTCTATGGAAATGCACTCCAAGCAGCATTGTGTCAGGGCCATGTGGCAATTACAAAGATGCTCATAGAGAAGGGAGCAGATGTACATGCACAGGGAGGATACTATGGAAATGCACTTCAGGCAGCATCATATCAAGGCCAGGAGGAAATTACAAAGCTGCTCATAGACAAGGGAGCAGATGTAAATGCACAGGGAGGACGCTATGGCAATGCACTCCAGACAGCATCATTTGGTGGATATGAGGCAATTGTGGAGCTGCTCATAGACAAGGGAGCAGATGTAAATTCACAGGGAGGAAGGTATGGAAATGCACTCCAGGCAGCATCATATGGAGGCCATGAGACAATTACAAAGCTACTTGTAGAGAATGGCACAGATGTAAAAACTTGTCAGATGCACCCAGAGTATTAGAAAACAGGCTATCATTTATGACATGGAATAGTGAACATTTCATAGAGGATCTGGATGATAATGAAAAGATATTTTCGAGGCTTGATAATTTTAACAAGGGTCAAGGTACTAGCATTCTTGATATATTTTGTGGAAACAAATATTGGCATGAAGTTTTGTGACTTGAGTAAAGTTTTGGAATGGTATGACATTTTGATATCTGATATTTATTGAAGCTTGGAGAATAGTAATGTTTTAGTAGATTGTTTTGAAACAGCATTCAACCAGTTATTTGATAGTGAGTGAAAAGTTCTAACAAAGAAACCAATCATCAGTACCATCATATCATTGGGAGCACAAGGGGCAAACAGGATTCATCGCCTGGTAAAGAGGTAATCAAAAGCAGATAATTATGTTAAATACATTAGTGTTAAAAATGTTCAAATGAAAAAGATTCATCATTATTTCAACTTTGCAGCCCCAAGAAGATGATGTCAATTATGTAAAATATTTATTGGTGGTTTGTTAGTGCAGGAATGATCAAGAAGCAAAAGAATTTTTTGCCAGGAAAGGAAGATAAAGAAAAACCCTGTCTTACCTTGGCAACAATGATGAG